ATTCTTGCGATATGTTTTGACCACTTGGCAACTTGTCGCTACGTAACTAATGCGGTAAAGGTTTTCACTCGTTTACACTTCCTAAGGTCAGTCATTTTGTTTACAATGAAATAGCGTGTTATTCGCATGCATTAGAAGCTTTGATGCAGAGGAATCCCTGAATAAATCGATGGTCAGACGGGTAGATATCCTGATCAATATCTTAAAATTATTTATTTTAATGAATATTTATCAGCAAATCCGACCGTTATTTTCCATAATGAGACTCACTTAATATCTTTATGTAGTATTTGAAAACAAAAATGCTTCACCGTGATGTCCCTGGACGTACATGCCTACATGTGTTTTGTATGCGTGCATGTGTGCTGGAGACAGGGTATGTTGATGTATTTGCCCCCCGCTAAAGCGCGGATCTGATGACGACATTATGCTGCTGCCTCGCTGAAGCTTGGAATTCGAGGAAAAAATAGACCTGCAATCACCCACGGCATGTCTCGTAAGAAGGGATTAATGTGGGAACCCATTCAAAATTGGATGTTTGCGCAACCACTACAATATTTAGTATCTTTACATCTCTACCTTTTACTATCTTATACTCCCTAGCGACTTTCTTGGCAATACCTCGCTTTTAGCTTTATAGTTGAACGTTCGCCCAGATAGAAGGCAATATATTAATAATGTATGTCACCTGGCCGGGACATACCGAATTCCTTTAAATTGGTAGTTTCGAATAACCTGCTTAACGTTCAGTATTAAGGGAAATGGCAACAACTGGTTCACCCGTTGTCAGTATAATGTGACAAGCCGGAATGCTGTGTCGGGTGTCTTAAGCAGGGCATTTTAATGAGATGGCACTAAAAAGTTAGAATCAGATCCGCGCTATGACGAGGAGGCAAATACGCAAACATGCCTTGCCTCTCTAGCACGTCTCCAAATGACCTTAGATATTAATAGGACGTTTAACCCTTATCAATCAATATTTGATTTCTGGAACCTTTTTTCCTAGTGTCTTGCTAGGCAATACCTCACTTTTTTCGTTCCTCTTTAGCGTTCGCCCACGTGAAGTAGGCAAGGGACCTATCAAAATTCTTTTAACATAGTAATTGTTATACCCTGTTTATAGTCCATCATTAAGTGTTTTCGCAACACTTGCTTTACCCGTTGGCAGTATAATGTGACCGAATGGAATACTGTGGTGGTTGCTTTCGGTATAGTATTTCATACATACATGTACCTTGCCTCAAACACACATGCACTGCACACATGGAGGCACGTCCTTAACTGTTAATTGGACGTTAAACAAAATGAAAACAATCCAAACATTTAGAATATTGATAATTTGAAGATCTGCGTGTGTATTGATTGTCCTGCAGACATATTTGGAGTTTTTACCTTTGTACTTTCGTAAATCTTTGGAACCATGACAAACATACAATGTCGCGTGCAGATCAGACATTTTATCCCCAGTCACTTTATTGATAACGTTGTTTGTGGTTACATGTAGCTTGCTAGATAAAATTAAACTCTCAAAATAGTTTCTGCCAACCCATGTGATGAAAGCCCTCCAGAACGTTTTTGTCCCTGCCAAGGAACAAATTACATTACTTGCATAGGAGGCCCAATGGTCCTGCATCGCTCACCTGGTACTACTTTCCTTTTTGAAACCTTAAAATAAACACCTGAACAAACCTGAAAATCGAGTCGATACTGAAAATATGTATCTCCTAACGACAGTTAACGTAGTTGATTATGACCTGACATGACGCCAACGTCCAGTGTGGTCAGTTTCATCTTTTGGGAAAGCCTGTGATAAAAATAACTACGACAGAAATAGCGCAATATCCAGGCCTTTTAGTGAGAAGTAAACATGCACAGCACTACGCTGTCGATCGACAACACAGAGCCAGTTGCTAGTCTGAGTTCACACATAACGCATTCTTGAATTTACACAATACATAGCAAGTAAGTAGTATAAGTATCATAATAGATACCTCTAATAAGATATTTCTGTTCATATTTGGATTTGAATAAAAACGAACAGGTTAAATTATAGCATACACGCAATGAGAGGGTGCCACAGAATTTCAAGTTGCAGAAAGTACGATATCAATAGATCACTCGATCATTTATAAAGAGGTTTGAGATTTAGATGATGTTGGAAGATGATTTTTGATTCAGAATAAATGCATGTACTCCAGAGAAGCTAGGTGAATAAAGCGAGAAAGTACCTTCTCTCCTCGGCTGGAAAGACATTTTTGTTTGCTAGAAATTCACCAACAGCTGCCACTAAAACGTACGGCTGCATAGATAAGGATTTCTCCATTACTGATTAAAAACGACAAGAATATATTGTCTCTTGTCACTTTCTCGACTTGTCACTTTCTCGACATGAATTGTTCATAAGGAGCACTTAATTATCCCTTTAACTGAGCATGCTAAAAGTTTAATTGTCAGAAGAGGTCGCTTGAACCTTTATAGATGACCAATGTGACCTTGAATATGGTTAAAGGTCATTTATTTAAACAGACTTGTTAGCCTTTGCTCCCCGCATACCACTGGCCAATTTCATCACCCTATAACTTCTGGTTATTCTAAGAAGTTGTTAAACGTTTTAAATATAACGACCTTGACAATGGGTAAAGGTAATTCATGTGAACTTGGTAGCCTTTCATCCATGCACGTTACTTGTCAAATACCATTTCCCTGTACCATTTGGTTATTCACAAAAAGTAGTTTTGAGATTTTATTCAGACAATTGAACATTGTGACCTGGAATATAGGATATGGTCATTCATCCCTGCATGCTTCTGGCCAACATTAACATCGTTGGCCTTTTGGTTATTCAAAAGAAGTTCTATGAAGATTCTTTAAGACAAATGCCTCCTGTGGCCTTGAATGTGGGAGAAGGCAATTCATTTGAACAAATTTGGTAGCCCTTTTCCAAGCATGTGTCTGGTCAGATATCATCACCCTTTACTTAAACGTTATCCAGAAGAAGTTGTTCAAATGTTTTCTAAGACAATTGACATATGTGGCCTTGAATAGAGCAGAAGAGCATTCATTTGAACAAACTTGATAGCCCATTATCGAAGCATTCTACTGGCCAAGTATCATCACTTTGTGCATTGTTGTTATTAAAAAAAAAATGTTTCTTAAGGGCAATTGACCCCTGGTGACCTTTAATATGATCGATGTTCAATCATTTACACATCCTTGAATGCTACTGACCAAATGTCGTCTATTGGAAAGTCGGAAAAAGATGCTTAAATATTTGTTTTTACATTTTTTAACCCATTGACCTTGAAAGTGGGTGAAGGTTTTTCATTTGACCAAACTTTGTAGCCCTTCATCCAAGCTTACTATTGGCCAAATTTCATAACCCTAGACCTTTTGTTAAGCCGCTCTTGGCGAGAGCCGAGCGGCTTATTAATTCTGTCCAGATAATGAAATAAAGTCGTCTGATACTCTTCTCTAAATAATGATCCATACTTTAAATAATTGCTGGGGAAAAAATGTTTATCTCCGGTGCATTCTACGAGTATTGTGGTGGTGAAATTCGTGCACTGGGTTTGAGCGTTTTAGCATCTCGGATTGAGGTCTGAGGAGGTTTACGCGTGTGAAACACATATGATTCGAGAAAGCACATGTGAAGACTGTCAAGCACTGTCTATATACTTATAAACCGTGTGAGTGATGAAGTATAACCTTTATTTTGAGGTTTCAAACGGGACATATCGTGCTTAGGAAGTTAGGTTCATAACGGTAATGGCTCTGAGACGAGACAATATGTGAACCGCATACATGCTTATCAAACATTTCTGTAACACAGTATGCTTTTTCTGGTGTATTTATTTATGAAAATGTAACAATTTAAGAACACAAAACAACTGCCGCTGCTGTTTGACAAGAATTCGCGCCGTGTCAAAATATTATCCAATCCAGTGTAAGGGAAATAGTTCTTACTTTGGTAAAGTTGAGAAATATAATTCAAATATATTCCAAGAACAATTGTGAGATTTTGAATAATTCAATGACAGTTAATAAAGTCACTACATATATTAATAATTATTATCAATATGAATAAAAAATAAATAAAAGGAGTACGTCTCTTTTCTCCATGCATCTTTTCCCACTACTGTTAATTGTCCTTCATTTCACAAGCACAAAATGCACCTTTTCTTTTTTATCCATTCACCGATTGCCATTATGCACGTAAATGCTCATGTCACATCATCGGAGGATGCTAATTAATGAAAATTACAACAATGCGTCACACCTAAAGAAGGTGAAAAAAGAGGAGAGGGAGAATGTTTTTAAGGCATCATTTAAGAGGTGATAGATTTTGGAAATTCCAAAGGCAGCATCGTCACATGACCTGATTTTCAATTAGCAGTAAACAAAACACATATCTGAGGTATTATAGTAGATATTGATGCTCAACGTGTTACTGAAGTAATTAAATTTAAAGTGGTGAGCGGCTTTAATGTCACACTGACATAATTCTAGTTTATTTAGAAATCGCTTCAAGATAAAAAAAAAATGACACAGAACAGACAACGGACGCCGCGCCACGGCATACGCTCACTTTGTCCTTTGGGCCAAATGAGCTTAGAAAATATTGCAGATGTTCGACTCGGAATCGGTTTAGTTATATTGTGTTAATATACACACGTCCTGCCAGCAGCTAAGATAAGTTAAGGACGCGCCTTCGTGTATATTGTGTATGCTCGCAGATGTGTATGTGTGACGGAAGTGGGGTATGGGGTGTATGTGCCGCTTTGTGGTAGCGCGGATCTGATCTTTGTGGTGCTATATCACCGAAGTACCATGGCGACGGCACCCAGCACACCACTCCGCCCGGTCGCATTATACTTACGAGTGAACCATTTGTTGGCAGACAGAACACAAAGCTTGTAAATAATAGAAAAGGAAAACTAGAAATACTGAAAAGGGTCTTGCAAATAACAAAGTTATATGTTGAAAGCAAATTTACACATTACCTCCTTTCTTGATATGCATCAGTGTATATACGACAATCCACAGTTGTATCTTCATATCGCCTCTTTCTAGCTGCACCTTAAACAAACGAAACGTATTATCCACCTAAGGATTGAAACTATAAAAAAAATCATAATTATGTTTCACTAATATATATCTATATATATCTACAACGGGTGAACCCTGCACTTATATAGTTCATAATTATGCTGAAGTCCTTATATATTGTCTCTGTGTAAAGAGAAATACTATTTAGTAAATAAGCACACATTATTAAGAATGCATGAACCAAGGAGTCAACACGATAGTATCGATTCTGTGTTTGTTAACCGTCAGATCAATTTTGGGCTCTTCGAATTCCCTCACGCAGCAGACAGGCAAAAATAATTTCTGCAGGGTGCCCAACATTAGTCGCCCTTTACGATACTCATTTGCTTTTTTTTCAATATGTAGTTTGAATTAATTGGGATGAAGTTCCATCAACAGACAGTCATCGAAGGAGGTTAAGTTTAAACATATCGTATTGTTCAATGATACCAAGAGATAGGACGACAAGTAATTTCAACTTACTTTAGTTCTCTGTCAATTACATATTGTACAAATAATGTACATACATGTTCGTTAAAGAGACCTAATAAATATGATAGGCGGGTGGGGTTTGAGAACGGTAGAAGGATTAGGCGGTGAGGGTTGGGGATAGTAACTAAAAAGATATCATATAAAGTGTGTAATTGGCAATTTGAAAATGTTTCAAAATGAACGGAAGCAATGTAACAAAGAAATCGGGCAAAATAATGAAGTGCAATTTCTTAAAAATGAGGAAAAATGAATCAAGTAATTAATACCTATTGCTGGATTTGATGCATATGTCTAGAAAATGTTTGTGTTGAGGTCTAACGAAGATTGTGCGTTAACACAAAAAGTAGTTCTTAATTGAAATCAACATGCCAAGCTTTCAAATTTTCGAGCACGATATGTCTTTCATTGTTGACAAAAAATCCCAGTTTGGTTTGGTTTAGTATTGTTTAACGTCCTATCAACAGCTATGCTCATTTAAGGAGGGCCTTCCCTGTGTGCAAGATGCATGCGTGTAGTGTATGCGTGTGTGTTTGGGAGGCTGCGATATGTTCGTGTTTTTCTCCTTGTGACAGCACGGAACTGAAACCGACTTTATAGTGCTACCTCACTGTTAAGTTCTTACTTCAGCCATCTTGTTTTTATGACCACTCTCAAAATTGGCGAACCTACGAGATTAAGATCCCTCAACAGTCCAGTACTTTCTGAGAATAAGCAAATCCAAACAATCCGGCTGTCAACCTTTTTGTGAATTCCATCACTCTCAAAAGTAAACATGCACCATAAAAGACCGAGGTTGATTGTAATTTCGGGTGTGTGTAGGGGGGGGGGGGGGGGGGGAANGTTGGATGATCCCAAAACTAAGTTTTTAACATTGTAAATAAGAGAAGATCTACAAGATACCCCTGCAGGTACGGCGTAATACTTGTACCTGCTGCCCCCATTTTATGATCGTAAAAGGCGACTACATTGGGGATATTATCTTTCTCTTCTTTCTTAACAACTTTCTTCTTCCTAATATTTCCCTTGACAATGCCTCACTTTTGGTCTTTAGTTGAGCGTTTGCCCCTGTGAGGAAGGCTTTGGGTTCTGTACCCTGGCCGAGACATACTAGAGTATTTAACAAGAGTACCGCGGGGCGGAACAATATACGCCCGTCGAATGCCATATAGTGTTATATCCTTTCTTACATTGAAATAAGATCTGCATCATTCTAAGAGTGGCTAGCTGACATGCTATAAAAAAGTAGGAGAAAATCTCCGGACAAAAAATCAAATACTAAAATGAACAAAGGGCAATAACTTTTGCAAAAGTAGTTGAATCAAAATTCTTTTCAAGGAAACCCAACAGCATATCATGATTATTTAGATTGCTAAGTTTCAAAGAAATCCGTCAAAAAATGTAGGAGGAGATCTCCGGACAAAAAAATCAAATACTGAAAAGAACAAAGGGCAATAACCTTTGCAAAAATTATCGAATCAAAATTATTTTAGGGTAGACACAACTTCATCATTTCATGATTATAATGTTTACCAAGTTTCAAAGAGATCCGTTGAAAAATGTAGGAGGAGGTTGCCGGACAAAAATCAAATATTGAAATAAACAAAGGGCAATAACTTTTGCAAAAGTTGTTGAATCAAAATTCTTATCAAGGAAACACAACAGCATATCATGAATATTTAGATTGCTAAGTTTCCAAGAAATCCGTTTAATAAATTAGGAGAAGATCTCCGGACAAAAAATAAAATACTGAAAAGAACAAAGGGAATTAACCTTTGGAAAAATTGTCGAATAAAAATTATTTTAGGGGAGACACAACTTCATATGATTATAATGTATACCAAGTTTCAAAAAGATCGGACGGACAACCCCATACCATTATACTTCCGTAAAATTTGACGGGCGTATACAAATGGTAGTTTCTACTCCTGCTTAACGCTCAGCAATTTAGGAATGGGACGACTGGTTCGCCCGTTGTCAGTATAATGTGGCCAGGTCCTGCTGTGTGTCTTTGACAGTATGTTTCAGTGAGGTAACAATATAAAATCGGCATCAGTTCCGCGCTATCACAAGGAGAAAAACACGAACATATCGCAGCCTCCCAAAACACTCATGCATACACTACACGCATGCATTTTGCACACACATTCCCTAATAAACGTTCAGGGTTCACCCGTTGTCCGTATAATGTAACCGGGCGGAATGGTGGGCTGGGTGCCTTCGCCATGGTATTGCAGTGAAAAGCACTCTAAAGTCTTCAGTAGAACCGCGCTATCACAAGGAGGCAAATAAACCAGCACATACACAACACACATGGAGGTACGTCCTTAAATAACCTTAGCTGTTAATAGGACGTTAAACAGTATAAAACCAAACCAATCTGTAAAATAGCGCTACCAATACGGACCACGAACGAAGTGCAATATGAATACAACACCATCTGATGACGATTGGCTTAGAATCCGTTTATTATTAACGTGTAATTATAAATGCAAATAATTGAATTTGTTCACAATTGAGTTATCAAAGCAATAATTGGCAAGATAGAAACACAATAGCTTCACACACAGGATTATAAGTATACAGAACTTACACTAAATAACATTTAGATACTTTTACACTATGCCTACCTTCGATACTGTTATCTGGCAATGTGTGCCCAGCTATCGCTATAACCAATGTATGTCCAACTATAGTTATTTATAAACAACACCTGACATAATGTAAGTATCAACATGCACCAATGTCTGCCTCGGGTTAGCCAATCAGAAAACGAAAAGGAAAGTGTATATTTCTTCATTTTTAGGTCACCTGAGCTTTAGCTCAAGTGACCTATTGCTATCCGTCTTCGTCCGTCGCCGTGCGTCGTCCGTCGTACGTCGTGCGTCGTCCGTTAACATTTCATTTTACATTTCAAACTTAAAGTCAAGTTCTGCTGGGCAGATTGAACTGAAACTTGGTAGGAATGATTGACTCATGGTCCTGACAAAGTGTTATTTTTCGGGTCAATCAGAAATCCAATATGGCCGTGGGCCACGGCCGCCATTTTGAAAAACTATTTCAAACTTAAAGTCAAGTTCTGCTGGGCCGATTGAACTGAAACTTTGTAGGAATGATCGACTCATGGTCCTGACAAAGTGTTGTTATTTTTCGGGTCGATCAGATATCCAATATGGCCACCACGGCCGCCATTTTGAAAAACTATTTCAAACTTAAAAGTCAAGTTCTGCTAGGCCAATTGAACTGAAACTTTGTTGGAATGATCGACTCATGCTCCTGACAAAGTGTTGTTAATTTTCGGGTCGATCAGAAATCCAATATGGCCCCCACGGCAGCCATTTCGAAAAACTATTTCAAACTTCAAGACAAGTTCTGCTGTGCCGATTGCACTGAAACTTTGTAGAAATGATCAACTCATGGTCCTGACAAGGTGTTGTTAATTTGCGGGTCGATCAAAAATCAAATATGGCCGCCCCGGCCGCCATTTTGAAAAACTATTTCAAACTTAGTCAAGTTCTGCTAGGCCAATTGATCTGAAACTTTGTTGGAATGATCGACTCATGCTCCTGACAAAGTGTTGTTATTTTTCGGGTCGATCAGATATCCAATATGGCCACCACGGCCGCCATTTTGAAAAACTATCTCAAACTTAAAAGTCAAGTTCTGCTAGGCCAATTGATCTGAAACTTTGTTGGAATGATCGACTCATGCTCCTGACAAAGTGTTGTTAATTTTCGGGACGATCAGAAATCCAATATGGCCACCACGGCCGCCATTTTGAAAAACTATTTTAAACTTAAAAGTCAAGTTCTGCTAGGCCGATTGAACTGAAACCTTGTAGGAATGATCGACTCATGGTCCTGACAAAGTGTTGTTATTTTGCGGGTTTATCAGAAATTCAATATTGCTGACACGGCCGCCATTTTGAAAAACTGTTTCAAACTTAAAGTCAAGTGCTGCTAGGCCTATTGAACTGAAACTTTGTAGGAATGATCGACTCGTGGTCCTGACAACGTTTTGTTATTTTTTGGGTCGATCAGAAATACAATTTGGCTGCCATGGACACTATTTTGAAAATACCTATTTCATACTTAAAAACAAGTTCTAATAGGCCGATCTAACTGAAAATCGGTCTAGAAAAGATCAGCTCATGGTCCTGACAAACTCAAATTGGTACATATTTCAACAACAAAAATAAATACTGTATGACTCAGGTGACCGTTAAGGCCCATGGGCCTCTTGTTTCATGCTGTGGCTCCCTTCGACCTGTGTTAGTGTGACAATCACTGTTGCGGGGCACTTAAATTCCGAACAAAAACACGGTATTTTTTCTCTCCATATGATTATTTGGAATCCCTTGCTAGTCTTACATGAATAATCAACGATATACTATCATAGTGTTAATCAATATTCCGTTATCTGCTACGTATACCTACATCGCTTCACGCTACCTATGCTTCGGCAGTTTACGTATGTGTTTTGTTAATTTATTTAAATGCACA